AGAAGTGTGATGATAAATCCCACTTTGGTATTTGATGAAGAGAAGGTCCTGGAGTGCAGGGAAAAATATAACTCACAGGAGTTACGAAAAGTCCTGAACTTCTGGCGGTCTCCTGTAAAGAACTCAGGCGTAGGCAACCAGGGTTCCGCTAGGGCAGAGGTTTCAAGGATCATACTGGTCTCTGATTGGCTGAATCAAAAGTTGCTGTGAGATCTGTGTCTGTGAGGACATTAGAGTCGGTTAGCAGTTTACTCTCCAGGTGTTAGAAGTTTTTCTGCAGGTCGTGTATCACTTTAAACAAGGTAGTTACTGCTTGGCGAATGTCCCCCAGTTGCGAGGCCTCCCTTTCAGACTCCATCATTGGCTGACTGGTACTGTCATGTACCTGATGGGAGACTGAATTGATGAGGTCGGCCTCACTTGTGTCACTAGCACTGACCCCGCTGAAGTTGGAACAGAGGGAGTCTAGGGACCAGGGGGACAAGAGCGCCAGTGGTTGTTGCTTGAGACTCTTGCAGATGATGACCTTGGTAGGCAGAGTATCCTCTGATTTGGGCACCGTAGAAATAGACCAGGCAGGTTCTGTGGATTGCCAGATGTGCAGCAGAGCAAGGTAGGTAGCCAGGACACAGGACTGGAGCAGAGTCAAGGATAGCCGGGGTCATAGTCAACAGTCGGGCAGCGCGGTACAGAATCAGAAGGAAAAGCAAAAGTCAGGAGCAGAGCCAAAGTCAGGAACCAAGAGTAGGAGAGTAATCGGAGTCGGGTCAGGAACAAGCCGGGTCAGCAACAAAGGAATCATACAGGAGCAAGCAGGACATGGGGGGGAGCTGAAGACCAGTCAGCACTGAACCTGAGCAGAGGCACTCCTTAAATGGGTCGTCTGGCGCCAATCTGTCAGGGCTCCGGGTATGACCAGAGGTGTGTGGACTGACACAGGGAAATGCAGGCTTCAGATATAGTATAAACAATATAATTTATTTAAGACTAAACAATACATAAACGCAGTGCAAGACTAAACATAAACACAGTGCAAACAAACCAAAACCCCCAACAGATAACAAAAGGACATTACTAAGCGTAGTCGGGCAGGCCGGGTCGGTAGCAAACGGGCAGGCAAGGTACAAAGGAGCAGGCAGAGCGTAGTCAGACGGGCCGGGTCAGGAACAATCAGGCAGACAAGGTACCAAAGGAGCAGACTGGAGAGTGGTCAGGAATAGCAGAGGTCAGGACAGGTAGAGTTCAATCAGAGTCAGGGATCAAGCAGGATCAGACAGGAAGCAGACAGGATGCAGGTACAGGGGCTCTTGGGAAACATACACCAAGGCCCTGATTGCAAGTCTGGCCATTCCTTATATGCACCTCCTGCAATCAGCCTCAGGTGTTTTGGCTGACTGCAGGAGTGAGCCTCTGGTTGCTGAGAGCACCCGCTGGCCAGTCCTGGTACTGCAACCCACAAGGCAGGTGAGTCCCACCACTATTGGCGAGTCCAATCCTGACACAATCTTCGCCGTGCGTGTGCGCGATCACGTATTCCTGCGTGCATGCGCACAGCCGGCAATTCTTCTGCGGAAATTCCTATGCGCATGCACGTTCCCGATCTCGATTCTTCTTGCCGGAAATCCCTTACAAAGGGGGTGGACGCCCTGACAAGCACGTGTAATTTCAAACTCTCTTACGCATGCCCTCCAGTGAGACTGATCCCAGCGGTCCTGCAAAAATTTCTGATAGAAAAGACAGATCTCATTCGGATAGAACCATTCTGGCCAAAGAGACCCTGGTTTTCTATGCTGCAGAGCCTTACCTCAGCTTCCCCATTCCCACTTCCAGAGAGGGAAGATCTGATCTCTCAAGGTCCTGTTCTACATCCTCGGATCAGAACCTTGAAGTTGGCTGCATGGTTTCTGAAGAGCAACTCCTGAAAGGTCAGGGGTATTCAGACATTGTAATAAGAACTTTGGTAAACTGTCGTAGACCAGTAACCAGAGCTATTTATACGAAGGTCTGGAGGAGATTCAACTCCTGGTTGTTAAATAATCGGCGGGGCCCTCCAGACAATCCGCCAGTTTTCGATTTGTTTCGATTTGCAAATCAGGGGCTCTCGATCAGCACCTTAAAAGTGCAGGCATTGAGTGTTTTCCTTCAGGTCTCCCTGCAGCAAGATCCCTTTGTAATAGATTTTTTCAGGTCTTTCTCCAAGTCCAAACCAGGAAGGGTCAAGTCTTGTCCAGTTTTGGATCTGTCCTTTGGTCCTAAAGGCTTTGGTCCTCCGTCCCTTTGAACCTCTGTGTCAGGGCTCCGGGTATGACCAGAGGTATGTGAACTGGCGCAGGGAAACGCAGGCTTCAGATATGTTATAAACAATAAGACAATTTATTAAAGACTAACAATACAAACATAAACGCAGTGCACCAAACCCCAAGCTAACACAAATACATACAACAAGGTGAAACAAACCCAAACCTAAACTGATACAGATACACAGGTACATACACATATAGAGCACAACGTAATCAGGCAGGCCGGGTCGATAACTATCGGGCAGGTAGGTACAGGAGGAGCAGGCGGAGAGAATGGTCAGGGTCACAAGCCAGGGATCAAAACAGGAGAAGTCAGCAGAGGTCAGGATCAAGCAGGGTCGGCAACAAGTAAGGCAGAGGCAGAAACAGAAACAGGAACAGGAACACAGGTTACAAGATACAGGGGCCCATGGAAAAACACACACCAAGTGTCAGGGCAGGAACGCTGGAATGGGCAGGCAGGCCTATGGTACGGTCACGCTGCGACTGACGACAGCCACTACCCACAGACCAGAGTCCCTCAGGGCGCGGAGTCTAAGCCCCAGGCTACCCTTCACCAGGGCCCCTGATGGTGGGGATGGACTTGACGCAGCCTGAGACCAGGTCGCGGCCCCCGACTGACCCCAGCTGCGATAACGACTGCCGCCAATGGCGTACAGCTGGTGGGAGCTAGATGGGAACACGAGTAGAGTAGTCAGACAAGCCGGGTCAATAACAACGGAGCAGACAGTACTAGACGGTAGGCAAAGAATACTCAGGTCACGGGCCGGGTTCAGCAACGGGGAGGTCAGAAAGGGTTAACGCAGAGAGTAGTCTTGTCCAAGCCGAGTCGGTTACCAGGAGAGCAGCAAAGGAAACAACACAAGAGCTTGCAACAGGGCAACATACAGGACACAAGTGCAGAGCACACTTGCAGACAGCAGGTTTAAATGTGCTCAACCACACCCTTCTGAGGAGGAGCCGCAGAAGCCTGAAGGCATAAAGGTTCCCACCATGCTTTGCAGAAAACCAAGATGGATGCCAGCTCATGGAGATGCACAAGCTCTGAAGAAAGGTAGGACCTTGACACCAAGGCCCAGACTGCAGGTCTGGCCATCCCTTAAATACACTTCCGTAATCAGCTTCAGGTGTTTGGCTGACTGCAGGGTTGAGTCTCTGATTGCTGAGAGCACCCGCTGGCCAGCCCTGGTACTGCAGCCCACAAGGCAGGTGAGTCCCACCATTACTGGCAAGTCCATTCCTGACAGTACCCCCCCCCTCAAGGAGCGGCCTCAGGACGCTCCAAACAGTCCTAGCTGGGCAAAATGTTCCACCGCCCGGGTCTGGTAACTGGCGGGATTTCAAAGACTGGCACATCGGGCTGGACTCCGGGCAGCGGCCCATCGGGCTGGACTCCGGGCAGCGGCACATCGGGCTGGACTCCGGGCAGCGGCACATCGGGCTGGACTCCGGGCAGAGGCACATCGGGCTGGACACCGGATCACCAGGCGGAGCAGCAGGCACCGGATCACCAGGCAGAGCGGCAGGCACCGGGCCACCAGGCGGAGCGGCAGGCACCGGGCCACCAGGCGGAGTGGCAGGCACCGGGCCACCAGGCGGGGCGGCGGGGGCACCGGGCCACCAGGCGGGGCGGCGGGCACCGGGCCACGAGGCGGGGCGGCGGGCACCGGGCCCCCAGGAGGGGTGGCAGGCACCGGGCCCCCAGGAGGGGTGGCAGGCACCGGGCCCCCAGGCGGGGTGGCAGGCACCGGGCCCCCAGGCGGAGCGGCAGGCACTGGGCCCCCAGGCGGAGCGGGCAGGCACTGGGCCCCCAGGCGGAGCGGCGGGTGCCAGGCCCCCAGGCGGAGAGGCGGGCGCCGGACCCCCAGGAGGGGCGGCAGGCACCGGGCCCCCAAGCGGAGCGGCGGACCGGGTCATCAGGCACGACAGCGGGCATCGGGTCACCAGGCATCAGGTCATTTGGCTCGCCAGCGGGATTTCAAAGACTGGCACATCGGGCTGGACTCCGGGCAGAGGCACATCGGGCTGGACACCGGATCACCAGGCGGAGCAGCAGGCACCGGATCACCAGGCAGAGCGGTAGGCACTGGGCCACCAGGCGGAGCGGCAGGCACCGGGCCACCAGGCGGAGTGGCAGGCACCGGGCCACCAGGCGGGGCGGCAGGCACCGGGCCACCAGGCGGGGCGGCGGGCACCGGGCCACCAGGCGGGGTGGCAGGCACCAGGCCCCCAGGCGGGGTGGCGGGCGCGCCGGGCCCCCAGGAGGGGTGGCAGGCACCGGGCCTCCAGGCGGGGTGGCAGGCACTGGGCCCCCAGGCGGAGCGGCAGGCACTGGGCCCCCAGGCGGAGCGGCGGGCGCCGGGCCCCCAGGCGGAGCGGCAGGCGCCGGACCCCCAGGAGGGGCGGCAGGCGCCGGACCCCCCCAGGAGGGGCGGCGGACAGCGGGCATCGGGTCACCAGGCATCAGGTCATTTGGCTCGCCAGCGGGCACCGCGTCATCTGGCAAGGCAGTGGGCACCGAGTCACCAGGCACGACAGTGAGTTCCGAGTCAACTGGCATGACCGCGGGCACTGGATCAGACATTGGATCGTCTGGCTCGACAGCGGGCATCGGGTCACCAGGCATCAGGTCACTTGGCTCGCCAGCGGGCACCACGTCATCTGGCAAGGCAGTGGGCACCAAGTCACCAGGCACGACAGTGGGCTCTGAGTCAATTGGCACGACAGCGGGCACCGGGTCATCAGGTACCGGATCGTCTGGCTCGACAGCAGGCACCGGGTCATCTGGCGCTTGATCGTCTGGCTCGACAGCGGGCATCGGGTCACCAGGCATGACAGCGGGCACTGGGTCATCAGGCATTGGATCGTCTGGCTCGACAGCGGGCATCGGGTCACCAGGTATGACAGCGGGCACCGGGTCATCAGGTACCGGATCCTCTGGCTCGACAGTGGGCATCGGGTCACCAGGCATGACAGCGGGCACTGGGTCATCAGGCATTGGATCGTCTGGCCGACAGCGGGCATCGGGTCGCCAGGTATGACAGCGGGCACTGGGTCATCAGGCGTGATAGGATCATCAGGCTGGATCAGTTCATCAGGCTGGGTACAGACATCAGGCTGGGTAGAGACATCAGGCTGAAGTGCCGGTGCCGAGGCACCAGGCTGAACCACGGAAGGCAGGTTCTCAGACGGCAGACTCACTGGCTTGGATACTGGCAGGATGGTACTGGTTGGAAAGAATTTTCATTTTTTTCTGGTTTTAACTACTGGAGCACTGCAAGTAAACGCAGGTCTGCAAATGAATGGAGCAGCTGAGGACAGAGAAGAGCTGGAAGATGGAACAGAGGAGGGAGCAGCCGCCACAGAGGACCTCTCCACAGGGCCAAAGAAAGGATAGGTGCAGTGAGTGGGAGCAGGGGACTGGTATGTGGTAGTTAGCAGAGTATACTGGGCCGTCACTGGGGGTGCTGTCGGGGATGCAGGAAGAGTGCCTTGAGCAGAGGAATGACGTTGCAAGCTGACTGAGGCTGGGTGCAACAAGTCTGACCATGTCTGCAGTATGGGTTAAACAAAGCTGAGCTTACACAAAGCCTGTCTGGTCAAAGACTGTACTGCGCGTTTATACAATCCCTTAATACCTGTGGTGAACATATTCCTCCCCGTTTGTTAATGCACACTCAACCAGATCATTATCAGCATCATGGGCAGAGAGAGCAGGTGATTCGCCAGAAGAGATATGTAAGACGGCCGCCTGGTCCAGTTTCTCTACCTTTGTGAAGCATTATTGCCTGGACCTCCTATCAAGTAAAGAGCAGGCATTTGGGTACAAGGTCCTCCAGGCAGTGGCCCTGCCCTAGGGAGTAGGTTCTTGATTATCGTCTCAAGGGGCTGTCCTGAAAAACGCTGGGAGAAAACCAGAGTTAGGCTTACCGGTAACTCCTTTTCTGTGAGTCTTCCAGGGCAGCCATGATTTCCCACCCTAACAATGTACAAGTAATGGTTATTTGGTTACTTAAGTGTTTATGTCTTTCAGTGTCTTCCAGTAGTTCTCGGGTAAAACTGAGGGAGGCCTGGAGGTCTGCCTTTAAGGTGTTGGGATTACGTGTGTCCTGACCCAGAGGGAGGAGCTCTAAGTCTCAAGGGGCTGTCCTGGAAGACTCGCAGAAAAGGAGTTATCGGTAAGCAGCGAGTGGGAGCAGGGGACTGGTATGTGGTAGTTAGCAGAGTATACTGGGCCGTCACTGGGGGTGCTGTCGGGGATGCAGGAAGAGTGCCTTGAGCAGAGGAATGACGTTGCAAGCTGACTGAGGCTGGGTGCAACAAGTCTGACCATGTCTGCAGTATGGGTTGAACAAAGCTGAGCTTACACAAAGCCTGTCTGGTCAAAGACTGCACTGCGTTTATACAATCCCTTAATACCTGTGGTGAACATGCAGCATAATGCTCCAAGAAGTAATCCACATCATCCTCTAATAACCATACCAGGGACTCTACCTGGTCTGCACTAAATGGTGGCAAAAATTCATTCCTGCTTTCAGGGGTACCAGACAGATGAAGCCAACTCTACACAAACCTGAATCAAAGGTTGCACCTCAGAGAACTCTGTGCCCTGATCTACTAGAACATGAGCGATCCATATACATTCTAGCAGTTGATCCCGGGTATACTCCCTCAGAGTCTGATAAGCATATTCTCTGTCATCAAAAACCAGCAGCGACAAATACACAACCTCATCAAGATCCATCCTTCCCAGCAACAAGCCAAGATGGCTTCCTGTGCAGCCACTTCTGGTCAGGATTGGCCTTGGTGTAATGTCAGGGCTCCAGGTATGACCAGAGGTATGTGAACTGACGCAGGGAAACGCAGGCTTCAGATATGTTATAATTAAACAATAAGACAATTTATTAAAGACTAACAATACAAACATAAACGCAGTGCACCAAACCCCAAGCTAACACAAATACATACAACCAGGTGAAACAAACCCAAACCTAAACTGATACAGATACACAGGTACATACACATATAGAGCACAACGTAATCAGACAGGCCGGGTCGATAACTATCGGGCAGGTAGGTACAGGAGGAGCAGGCGGAGAGAATGGTCAGGGTCACAAGCCAGGGATCAAAACAGGAGAAGTCAGCAGAGGTCAGGATCAGACCGGGTCGGCAACAAGTCAGGCAGAGGCAGAGGCAGAAACAGAAACAGGAACAGGAACACAGGTTACAAGATACAGGGGCCCATGGAAAAACACACACCAAGGCCCAGACTGCAGGTCTGGCCATCCCTTAAATACACCTCCGTAATCAGCTTCAGGTGTTTGGCTGACTGCAGGGTTGAGTCTCTGATTGCTGAGAGCACCCGCTGGCCAGCCCTGGTACTGCAGCCCACAAGGCAGGTGAGTCCCACCATTACTGGCAAGTCCATTCCTGACACTCTGGAAAAGCATTTTTTGTCAAAAAAATTTTTGGATTTAAAAAACATTTTTTTTGGTAGCAATCAAGTCAGCTCATAGAGTAAGTGAGTTATAGGCACTCTCCATTAGGGAGCCCTTTCTGACTGTTTTTGAAGACAGGGTTGTGCTCAAAACAGATCCAGGGTTTCTCCCCAAGGTGTCCTCCTCCTTTCATAGGTCTCAGGATATAGTCCTAACGACCTTCTGTTCTTCTCCGGCAGTAGGGAGGAGGAAAGATTGAATTTGCTTGATATGAAAAGAAGCCTTTTGGTCTATCTTAGTAGATTCCGACAATTTAGAAATTTGGATTCCCTTTTTGTGCTTTTTGCAGGAGCACGGAAAGGTTCCAGAGCATCTAAATCCACCATAGCTAGGTGGATTAGGTTAGCTATTACGGAATCTTATAAATCATTAGAGATTCCTCCCCGTTTGTTAATGCACACTCAACCAGATCATTATCAGCATCATGGGCAGAGAGAGCAGGTGATTCGCCAGAAGAGATATGTAAGACGGCCGCCTGGTCCAGTTTCTCTACCTTTGTGAAGCATTATTGCCTGGACCTCCTATCAAGTAAAGAGCAGGCATTTGGGTACAAGGTCCTCCAGGCAGTGGCCCTGCCCTAGGGAGTAGGTTCTTGATTATCGTCTCAAGGGGCTGTCCTGAAAAACGCTGGGAGAAAACCAGAGTTAGGCTTACCGGTAACTCCTTTTCTGTGAGTCTTCCAGGGCAGCCATGATTTCCCACCCTAACAATGTACAAGTAATGGTTATTTGGTTACTTAAGTGTTTATGTCTTTCAGTGTCTTCCAGTAGTTCTCGGGTAAAACTGAGGGAGGCCTTTAAGGTGTTGGGATTACGTGTGTCCTGACCCAGAGGGAGGAGCTCTAAGTCTCAAGGGGCTGTCCTGGAAGACTCGCAGAAAAGGAGTTATCGGTAAGCCTAACTCTGTTTTTTTTTTGTCATTTTCCAAAAACTTGTGATAAAAAAATAAATTCTTCTATTGACTCAAAATGCCTCTCAGCAAATAGTTTGAGTTGTCTACTTTCCAAAAAGGGGTAATTTTGGGGGGTGGGGGCATTTTATGCCCAGCATTAGAATTTTATACCACACATTATTCACTCTAACACCTGAAGACCAAGCCTTCTCTGACACTTTTTGTTCACAGGAAAAAAATCTGTATTTTTGCTAGGAAATTAATTTGAATCCCCAAACATTATATATATTTTTAAAGCAGACACCCTAGTGAATAAAATGGTGGGTGCTGCTGCAATTTTTTATGTCACATAGTACTCGCACAGCAATTTTTCAAACACAATTTTTTGAAAAAAAATACACTTTTGTTAATTTCAATGCACCAAAACCCTATATATTGGCCACTTATTTGGTGGTACATAAAAGATGATGGTATGCTGAGTAATTACATATCAAACATGACATGCTTTAAAACTGCGCATGCCCTGTACAATGGCGACAAACTGCATACATTTTAAATATCCATAGCAACGATTTAAAAGCCTTTACAAGGTACAATTTTAGATTTACAGAGGAGGTCTAGTGGTAAAATTACTGCCCTTGATCTGACGTTCATGGCGATACCTCACATGCATGGTTCAACCGCTGGTTACATACTGGCACAGGGTCAACTGGCACAGGGTCAAGTTATTTTGATTTATTTAATTATTTTTACACTATCCCTTTCATTTTTTTTTAATCACTTTTAATGCTATCACAGGGAATTCAAATATTCCCTATAACTTCAAAGGGCATTGTCATATATTCTTTTTTGAGAAATCTGCAGTCTATCAGGCTCTAGATATCTCCTCTGCCCTTACATTTTCTAATCCCACCAAGATCGGTGTGATCAGATGCTTTCCCAATTTACAAATGGCACTGTTTATATCCTGCGAAACTGAAGTGATGAAATGCTTGTAGCTTCCGATTACTTAGACTATAGAGATGATTGGCACCTTTCTGGTCTCCAATCAGCTCTATGGTCAGCTGGCAGAAACACCGGCTGCATTCTCAGGTTCCCCTGATAGCACAGAACTGTCCGAGAATACAGTGGAAGGCAGCGGGGGAGGGGGGGGGGCATCTCCTCCTGCTGCTTGTAAAAGCAATCCTGCAGCTAATTAGCTACTAGGATTGCTTTTACATGAAAGCCCATCGCCATCTGAGACAAACGATACCAGGATCATGCCTGCAGCTGCATCAAAGTCCAGTGATGTACCAGTACGTTGCTGGTCCTTGTTGGGTATATATTCTATGTTCTTTTTTTTTTTTTTTCAGCCTGTGAGCTGAATGGAAAAAAAAGAGATGAAATCTCTGCTAGAAAAAGTGTGTGGTATGCCACCATTAGAATACCTCCCTGCATCCACCCACTTCTAATGGTAGGCACACATGAAATGTGCCAACAAATATAAAATATATATGCCAAAGCATAGAGGCCATCCACCCCAGGCCCCCATGCATATATGCTCTTTTTTTAACTGTGGATGAAAAATCTCATCCAACAGCACTGCACACACCTACTGATGTATATTCTGAGAGCAAGACACTGTTGCTGTCAGAATAAACAAGTCGGTGCTGCAGTTTAATGACATTCCTGCAAAGAAAACAGAAATGGCTAACAATAAAACAGTAACTCAATAAAACAACGTTTTTATTGAAATATCTCAGCCAGGAAAAGTGTGTGGTGGTATGCCTACCATTAGAATACCTCCCTGCATCCACCCACTTCTAATGGTGGGCACACATGAAATGTGCCAACAAATATTATAAAATATATATGCCGAAGCATAGGGGCCATCCACCCACTGGCCCACCCCAGGCCCCCATGCTTCGACATTGCAAGTAGGTAGGTGGTCTTTTTCCTATTCCTTGGGGGCCCCCTCAAGATACCAACGGTCACACCTGGACACAGCTACAAGATCTCGGAAAGTGAATGCACTCAAGTCACCTCAGTTGCGATTGCAAACACTTCAGTTTTATTGGCATAACATCAGGGTTTTTATACTGTAGTCTTTGGGCAAACACACCCTCAGACCATCCAATCAAATACATGTACATTTTTTTACCTTAACTCAACAATTATTTGTATGAGGCTTGCATTTTCACTCTTCTGCTTTATCTGTCACACCATATCTGGTCTTACGCCCAGACCATGGCTGTAATCTGACCCAACGCCCAGACATATCTCATATATATGTATGTTAAACTAGCATCTTGTATTAATGTATACAAAATGGATTCAGTTATATTCCATTTAATTCTTTCAGACATATATGCTGTTTTTTAAACTGCGGATGAAAAAATCTCATCCAACAGCGCTGCCCACACTGATTTATGTCAAAAAGATCAAGTTCCTGTTTCTGTCAGAATAAACAAGTCAGTGCTGCAGCTGAAAGCATTCCTGCAAAGAAAACAGCAATGGTTAACAATAAAACAGTAACAATAAAACAGTAAAAGTGTAACAGTAGAACAATAACAAAAATGACAACAAGAAAAACTATAACTATTTTTGGTTTTTAAAATTTAACATTTTTGTGGGATTTGTAATTTTTATTTTATTTATTTATTTATTTTACTTCTTTTTTTTTTTAAACTTTAACATTTTAAAACCAGATTGTAGGGTCTCTCCAAATGCGATAGCCAGTTTCCTGACTACCTAACATCTTTCGAGACCCTGTGTAATTGTGCCTGGAACTATGCCGTGCTGTACCCTATACTAATACTCCACTAGTGTATGGTAGCGACGGAAGCAGTCCTT